TTGCAACACCAGTCACTCTAAAGGGTAAACTTATTCTCCGAAAGCTGGTTGCTATGGGAAACAAAGACCGTACGGAAGATACACTTCTCGGATGGAATGACCCACTTCCTGGAAAGTTAAGTAGAGAATGGCAATGTTGGTATAATTCTCTTGTTGATTTGGAAAACGTTCACATTCCAAGATGCTATCACGCCGCAGATTTTGGAAACGTTATTTGAAACGAAATACATGCGTTCTCGGATGCAAGTGAGGAGGCCGTCGGTGCTGTCGTTTACCTGAAGCAGACTAACGTACGAGAAGAAGTGAGCGTGTCACTCGTGTTTGCAAAAGGGAAACTAGCACCGAAACAAGCAACAACTATCCCACGATTGGAACTTTGTGCTGCGGTATTAGCAACTCAGGCTGTCGAACGAACAATCAAAGAACTTAAATCCTTGACCATTGATGAAGTAGTTTTTTACACCGACTCAAAGGTGATCTTGGGCTACATCCAGAATGAAAGTCGGCGATTTTACGTCTATGTGGATAACAGGATCCAAATTATCCGAAAGGTATCTGAACCATCCCAATGGAGATACATCGAAACAACCGATAACCCAGCAGATCTCGCCACGAGATGTACATCCGCGAATGTCCTGATCGAATCATGCTGGTTTGAAGGCCCCAAGTTCCTAAGCGATGTAACTGCTACCCTGGACAACAATGAAAAATCAATGTTGTGCGAGGACGACCCAGAAGTCAGACCACAGGTTGCTATCCACATCACGGGTATGCCACAAAAGATACAACTTTAAAATCGGTCAGATTTATGCGTTTCTCCAAGTGGTCAGTTCTACGTCAGGCCTTAGCAAACCTGATTGCTAAAGTGAGAGAATTCAAGAACAGGCGGAAAACTCTCGCGAAAGAGAACGTCGAAGGTCCACACCAACCTCGTAAGCCCCTTAATCGTCAGTAACCTATCCAACTCCCTCGATTACCATCATCGGCCGAGCTGAAGCAAGCAGGAAAACAGTGTTGATCAAAACGGTCCAAAGTGAAAACTTTGCCACCGAGATAGCTACGCTTCACAGTACTGAGCTGGACGAAAAGACCAAGAACGACCTGAAGAAATCAAACTTGTACCGTCTAGATCCCTTCCTTGACGATTGTGGTGTTTTAAGAGTCGGAGGACGCCTTCGTCGCTCAAACCATGGATAATAAAATAAATAGATAGGAAACTAGCTGACGTGACCTAATGTTTTTACTGGGATTGATGGCGTGGTTGGATGCCTCGACCTAGTTGAAAATCAAATTCTCAAAAACGGCATGTTTAGCAATAATACAGCTAAACATTTTAGTCAAAGAGCAAGTAAATCTAACCACGCAATTCTACGATGAAAACTCTAAGTATTCCCAGTCAATTTTAGCAAATATTTCAAGCACTAAACAGTGAAAAATACATCGCAAATTTCGTTAAAATTTATGACGCCAATTTCGTAGCTACAAATGTAAAAAAATACAAAACAAAGACGAAAAACATTTACCTTGAATACTTTGTCGTGGCTTAGGCATGTTTTTAAAACAATTAGACCAGTTTACGCTTCAAGATCACCCTTTTAAAGTGGAAAATATAGCAAAACAACAAATATGTCGAGAACTTTGGTAACATTCGCAATACGCGTGACGTCACGTTTTTCAACAAGGATGCAGTCAATGACGTCAGAAGTTTCCAATCCATTTATTTTACAATCCATGCTCAAACCAAGACTTTTTCGAGAAACATCCAGCTATCCTACCCAAAGGACACCACCTTTCACACCTGGTAATTACCCACCAACACGAAAAGGTTTATCGTCAGGGTCGACAGATTACCAGTGGGGCGATCCGTCAGGCCGGCTATTGGATCGTCGGAGCCAGTCGTATGGTATCGAAATCGCTGAACGCCTGCGTAACATGTAGAAAGCTACGAGGGAAGACTCTTACACAGCACATGGCAGACTTGCCACCAGATAGATTGGAAACTCCACCCCCGTTCACCAACGTTGGTTTTGACGTATTTGGTCCATGGATCATACACACCCGAAAACTGAGAGGTGGGGCGGTAAACTCTAAACGATGGGGACTCGTCTTCACTTGTCTAAATAGCCGTGCGATTCACATCGAGGTTATAGAAACGATGGATGCTAGCTCATTTATCTGTGCTCTACGACGTTTCCTCTCAATTCGTGGTCCAGTGTCGATCCTGAGATGCGATCAAGGGACAAACTTTATTGGAGGAAAGTCCGAACTAGATACTGCCCTACAGGAAACCGACCTTAAGAATATCGAGAAATACGTCACCGAACAAGATTGCGAGTGGATTTTTAACCCACCCCATGCATCACATTTTGGAGAAGTATGGGAGCGACAAATTGGAACTATACGTCGCATCTTAGATGGTATGTTACACAAGATTGGATCTTCGCAACTCACACATGAGCTTCTAGTAACACTGATGGCAGAGATAACGGGAACAGTAAATTGCCGTCCCATTGCTGCACTTCCAACAGATATCGAGGAACCACAGCCATTAACCCCCACAATGCTTTTGACGATGAGGATCAAACCACTTTCCCCTCCACCTGGCATCTTTGTTCATCAGGATCTGTATTCTCGTCGACGTTGGAGAAGAGCGCAATACCTCGCCGACCAGTTTTGGATTCGCTGGAAGAACGAATACCTCCAATCGCTTCAATCCAGATCTAAATGGAACAAACGTCACCCTAATCTGGAAGTTGGTGACATCGTTCTCATGAAAGATGACACACTCCGGAACCTTTGGCCAATGGGAAGAATCACAAAGGCAATCAAGAGCGAAGATGGTAAAGTTCGGAAAGCGGAGGTGATGGTATACCGCCATGGAGAAAAGAAGACTTACACGCGACCAATTGGGGAACTTATACTCTTATTGAACAACACACAAGTTAGGTAGCAAGGACTTCGTCCTTGGGCGAGGAGTGTGAAGTTATGCTAATATGTAGAATGCATGCTTGACTAAATACATACATAATTAATCGATCTACTAGAGTCAAATAGGCCAGATCTTGGGATTTTGGGGTGGAAAAAATTAAAACACGGGGAACACTCTAGAAGACTTCAACGGAAATCATTTATGGGGAATTTGAAGGACTTCGATCTCATAGAGTTATAGACGTAAGTCAGTTCATTTATTTCATACTATATTTACAAGCTTATCGTGCACGAATTTATAAACTGTGTGCTTAGTGTAGCGTATTATTGATTTATAATTTTCACCGACGGATATACAGGAATATACAGGATCAAGTGTAGCTTAATACTAAGCAAGAATGTATCATTTATATAAAATCAATTTAAACTGTGTATTCGTTTGGTTTACACTGCGTTCTCTGCCCGCGACGCGACAGATAGGGATGTGTGTTTAAGTCAGGGCATAAAAGTTTGTCGATCCGTACGGATCGTACGGTCCGTACGAACTGTAAAATGGCTTTACGGACCGTACGAACTGTACGGTTCGTGAAGATGATTTACGGATCGTGAACCTACTTTGTCGATAGCGATGTTGTGTTGAAGTGAGGGCATAAAAGTTTGTCGATCAGTGGCGTGCTGGCAGGGGGGGCCACGCCCCCCCCCCAGCTGGCAATTCTTGGGGGGCGCAGAAATGAAAAGGGGGCGCCGATCCCGCGCCGAATTTTGAAAATGGGTGGGAAAAAACGCATTCGAAAAAATATAGTTACTTCCGCCAAGAAAACGACAAAGTGATATATTAAATTACAGACTATTTTGTCTATTAAGCCGTATTTGCTAATTTGCTACTTTACGGCGCACACGAAATCATTTATATAGAAACATGATCAGTGATCAAACGCAATGTCTCATTACCGAAATGTTGGTTAGGTTTGGAAGTGATCACGGGAATTATGCCCTTTTTTGCTGGTATTATGCCCTTATATTACGCCCTTTATTATGCTTCACGAGAGCGGCGCAAATTAGATAGTTGAAGTTATGATAATGTAAAGTTGTGTACGTAATTTAGTTGTTTGCGCAAGAAACATCATGAGTAATGTAAGTAATGAAATAATGCTGAAACGCGCCCTTTTCGCAGCCAGGCAAGGAAACCTTAAAATGCATATGCGTGGGGTCCGTGTATTATTGTATAAAAGAGCTGTAAGATTGTAAATGTATTCAGATCAGTAGAGAATAGAATTGGGATTAGATTAATCGCTGGAAATGGTTATCATGCATTGCATAATTTAAGTACAAATTGCAAATTTCGACACGTTATAATGCTGTTTCCTGACCATCAGATTTCTGTCAAATCGTCCCCAAAGTCCAGGAAATGGCATTTCAGAGACTCTAAATTCAAAAATTTTCCTGGGGGGCATGCCCCCGGACCCCCCTAGAAAAACCTCGCACCTTCGGCGCTCGGCTCGTGCCTTCGGCCCTCGTTTATCAAGTGTAATATTAGAGGGGCGCATATTGGTTGACAGCACACTGGCCCCCCCCAGAAAAATCGTACCCAGCACGCCACTGTTGTCGATCCGTACGGATCGTACGGTCCGTACCGAACTGTGAAATGGCTTTACGGACCGTACTTTTCGTGCCCAATCTTTAACTCGGTCAAGGCAATGATTAAATACATGATGGCGTCGTATACGGTTTGCCATGTCAAAAATATATTCTTCTTGTCAGATTGTAGATGATTAGAAGTGGTTTTCCCGTTGTGGAATAACTGACGTGTGGCTGTGTGCTAAAACTGCGGACAGAACAATAGTGAATGAGTTTGTGAATGAGACTATGTTATAAGGCGAAAAAAAGCGTATACCAAAGTATTAAATGACAATATTACATCAATGACAATGACATTTTAATGCTGGATGATTCCGTTTGGCACCTGCCGTCTGCCAAAAAGATACTTGATAGGTATAGCATTCAAATGTGCGGTATATAACATCCAGTTTACACTTGGTTTTATGCACATTTATCTAATAATTGCGTGTAATTATATGAACAGACACATTTTAAAACGTATGGATGAAAAATTTCCACGCGCGAAAAGTTTTTGCGGGCGTAATTTTTTCTTAGGCCGCGGCTAAGGGTGGTTATGAATCCGGAATTGAGGCCTGCCTTATTACATGCTAAATTTCAGTAGTTAGGTAAAGGCAATGTTAATTTGACAGCGTTGTGCCGACAAAGCTATTGTGTTATCGGATCGGGAATATTTGTGTATAAATATTGGCTGATATACAGTGTGTCTAAAAACGCAAGCCAACTTTAGCATGAATTTGTGCGTTAATTAATTACCCGCCGCCGTTTTGAAAAACAGCGGGATTTGCATACTGAGTTTGCAACTTCAGGAAGTGAGCAACGCTAATCGCATTATTAATTACCGCTTAAGATGTCATCAATCCAGGTTCAGTTGCTTACACGCAGTGTGAAACCTAGACTTGCCACAAGTCGACCATGGGGGAGGTAGGGCGCGGGGGAGGGAACACGCGACCCGAGCGACGAAGTCGCGAGTGGTCGACTTGTGTCCCTTGCAGGAATTTAAATCACATTAAAAATTTTGGCGCGAATAATTTTGACATAAAAGGGGTGTGTACATTTCATACAATTACTTCACCGCGCCGTCAATTGGTCTACAAAAACACAAAAACATTCTCAAGAATTGATATTTCTTTGTCCTCGAATGAAACAGTTTGCACCGAGTGTGGAAACGAAATAACTGACCCAAGTAAGCGCCGAAAGCTGTTCAATGTATCAACAAAAACGAGTGCATGTAAAACTTATTGAATCT